ATATATAATTAAAATGCAAAAAACACAATGTTGTGGGAAACATTACATATATAATTACACTGAAACTTATATAAAATACATAACATACTACATATAGAATACATTTGTATGTCCTATAACTATGTAACTCATTAATATACTACACACACATTTTGCTTAAGAATACATTCACATATTTGCACTTGCATATATATTACACACACAGGTACACATTCAGGGCACCCACCAGTAATGTATAGGGAGCATGTAATTAAATTGCAAAAAAAACCAACAGTTTGAGGTACTTATACCTTTATTAATGTGAAAATTACTGTGTATTATTATCAGTGGGTTAGTCTTGCTCATTGTATTAGTACAATCATAGAGAAAATAGAACTCTTCTATTTTCGCTATGGTACATACAATCCAGTAATGTACTAGCAGGCTTCTGTGGTCTAGCAGTATGACATTCACCCTGAAAGCAATAGTCTTGGGTTCAATTCCTGCCATTAGCTCTTTTTATACAACTGATACAGATCATTTGTTCCTATATCAGAGCAGTACTACTAGGCACCTTTTGTTATGCTTTAAGGGTGAATGGCAATCATATGACAGTAGGCATTTTCTCATTTTGTTGAATTAATGAATGACATCTGAAATTGCAATTCTGAAATAAATACATGTTTATGTTTGCACTGAATTTTGTACTATTGTTTTTATTATCGCTGTTAAAAAAATACCTTTCTAGGTCATATAATAACAAAATGCAAGAAAGCTTCTATGCGCTTCAGATGAAAAATAAAATAAATAAAAAAATGGCACAACAAAATCCCTGAGAGCTCGCTGTCTGCCATCACCCTAACAGTCCTGGACCCCTGCACATGTGACTTGAGCAAAGGAATGAGATAATTTTTGCCCTGCCACAGGTGAGTAGGTGCTTATATAGTGGCCTAGACTGGCCCTAGAAAAGGCAAGGTTTTTGAAGATGGCCAATGTTGATGGTGTGGTGTTTGATTGTAAACTTGAATGTACAGTGCAGTTGCTGGGGAACAAGTATGAGTAAAGGTACAGGCTGTACATTAAATGAAGTAATGCATAAATGAATATTATACGACACTACAGATGGTAATTTGTTCTATTTGGGAAACTATAGTATACATTTATTTTACATAAGAGACCACAAATCAACACGATATTAAATATATATATATAATTTATTTTAAATAATACCTACTAATAGTAATATTAATATTTATGTCATATCAAACCTGCTCATTTTCTATAAACCGTTCCACCACATTTAGAAAATCATTCGGTTTTTCTGAATGAACCCAATGACCAGCGTCCTCTATAGTCTCAACTACCGCTGATGGGAATAATCTTAATATTTCAGCATAATCAGATGGTTGTATATAGTCCGAGAGGCCACCTCTAACAAAGAGTGCAGGCTTCTTAAATGTGAAATGATGTTGAGGGAAGCCAACCAAAGCGTCATGGTTCTGCAATAAAGCGTTGAGGTTTAGCTGCCATTCAAACCCAGAATCAGTTTGTTGTAGGTTCTTCATGATGAATTGTCGAATTGACTTTTTCTGTGATGTAAATAAAAAAAGCACAAAATATGACCTTGACTTATAATATTATATAGTATGAATAACAATTTTATTATTACCGTAGAACTATTTAAACTTGGTTTAATTATCGAACCAACAGCTCTACAGTTATAATAAGCAAACCAATTGTAACTATTTGAATATTTATGTTATTTACTTATTATCACTATTATTATATATTCATCATCCTCATCATCAGTCATGCTGTTATTTAATGCACATAGGCTAATAAATTCAATACCACAGCCTCCCATTTATACTCCTTAGTAGAGGGACAAGATAGGCGAAGTGCTTTACTCATGCACACAAACGTATTTCACAGCAAAGTTTTGAACCCTCAACCATAAGATTGAGAGCCCCAACAGCAACCACAGAACCAACAACTCTCATAAAGTTTAAAAACAAAAACAATAGCTGCTTGTTATGAGAAATAATAAAAATAATAATCAGTTTGTATATAGCGCAAATTACAATTAAGTCTCTTCTTTATACATTTTTGAGACGTGATTTAGGGGTCGTTCAAAATTATCAAAATTTCTGCAAGTCTACAAACAATACCCTTTTTCGGTACCCCCCTTCCTCCCCTCTGAAAGTGTATATAAAAAGTGTTGGTTTTGCAAAACAATTCTCGTTTTTTTTTTTAAACGAAACAATAGCTGCTTGGTTTGAGAAATAATATTAATAATAATAATAATAATAATAAAAATAATAATCAGTTTGTATATAGCGTGAATTACAATTAAGTCTCTTCTTAATATAAAAATGTGACTTTTGAGACATGATTTAGGGGTCGTTCACAATTATCAAACAGTACTCTTTTTTCGGTATCCCCTTCTTCCTCTCTGAAAGTGTACATAAAAAACCATTCTCAATTTTTTTTCAATCAACTAAAGTACTGTACTTGGTTTACATCGAAAAGTGCATTATATCCATGGTTGTATTATAATTGGTCATAAAAATCTATTATTTTAAATATTTTGAATCAACATATTTATACATATGTAATAGTGTACAAATTTGTCTGCCCCTCCCCCTAGGGTACTGTTTGTACATTTGTGAAAATGTTAATATTGTGAATGACCCCTTAAACTGTTCAATAATTAGACTTACTGGCATTGTATTTTGTAATTGTAGATCAACGTATTTCTTTAGTTCAGATGATGAAAGATTTTTGTTCAAGTCCACGGACATCATGGCTCTGATATAGGCCTTTACCCATGAATCTTCACTGGCCTTTGGCGCCTTGGGTGCACTATCCACAACTACCAACTTATCAACTAGTGTGGGCTGTGAACAAATCCAAATCAGAATGTGAATTTCATGATATAGTAAACCTTGTGCAATAATTATATTTGATGTTAATGTGTATCTGGTTTGGGCTGCTGGTGACTACTGAGCAACCCATCTTGGTGGTATTCGTGGCTGCAGTAACAAGAAAAATATTGCTTAAACAAAGAGTGGCGAGTCTTTTCTTTATTTAACAGGAAATCGTGCAAAACAAGGCCAAAATACACTTAAGGTAACGGGCTAGAAATGAAGAGCTCAGTGGAACAAAAGCAAAGAATCAACAGCCTACCATGCTTTTTTAAGGATTAGATTCAGAACTGGTTCTTAGATATGTGTACAAGTTTTTCTTATTGTAGTTTTTATAATTTACTTGTATTATTATTGCAGTTAAACGCAGTGCAATTTGTAATTCATGTGTGATATATTGTAATTAGCATGGAATAGAAGATAAATCAGAATGTATAATTAAAGTACTTATTTCATTGTCATTAACTATCTACTGTATGACACAATGATGCAAGTACTGTATAAATCCAGTATCTATACCTCAATCAGACTTGTAACCATGGCAATTTTTCCACCCATACTGTGACCAATCAGAATGCAGCTTGACAGTCCTAATTTATCAGTTACTAATGACTTGATATCTTGGCTCATCAATTCTAGCGTCATTACATCCACATGAGGACTATCACCATGGTTACGTGCATCCACGGTAACTGTCTAGAAACAATTGATGGAATTATATATACAATCATTCAATAATAATTCTATCATGATAAAAATAACTGATATGGAACATAAAGATTAAATATAAATATATATATATATATATATTGTGTAAAAAATGATGATCCAATTCAGCTTAATGAAGCGTAGGGATATCTTCTCATACTTCCTAAGCAAACAAATTGGCAGGTCTTCCGAACTAAAATCCTTAATGATGGAACCAAACGGATGCAAATTGATGAAAAATACAACACATTTTAAGAAAAGAACTAAGGATTTAATTGTAGTAAACATGTTTCGGGTGTTCTCTCTCACCCATCATCAGTACAAACTGAAAGGCGAAATAAACGGAAAGAAAAACCTTGTCATTCTTAACTAAGAGTATTTATACAAAGAAATG